CAGAGTTTGTGGAATTCTGAAAAACAGTGAGGAAACTCCATAGGGGCAACAAAATGCTTTTTGAGTACTGCTTCTGACTTGCAGGATCATTAGACTTTCTTCATGGGCAGGGTTTGCCAAGTCTATGCAGACATCAGGGAGGGTTACAGAGCTGCTTCTGAAAAGTACAGTATTTTAAAATATGATGGTAAAAGGTAGAATTTAGTGTCATGAGAGTTTCACTCATTCCTCAACTAGCAAAAGCATTACAAGGTAGGTAAAATGGAAGAAATCAGGGTGGGGGCAGGACATTCAGTGCAAAAGATGTCTGTAATTAGTTTCATAAGTGGAGGTAAATGTAGCAGAGTGGAAGCAGCTGGAAAATGGCAAAAGCATTCTCAGAAAAACTAAATGGCAAAAGCCTAGAGGTGTAAGTACTGGCTGCCACAGTTTTTTTGTTGTTGCCAAACACATTATTTCTCACTGGATTGGAATATTAAAATCAGGGGAGCAGTTTTTAATTTCATGCTTATGTTCATGTAAACGTGATGAACTTCAGAGGAATTGTACACACATGACAGCAATAAATTAATTAAAACCTGGAGTTCAAAGTGGATATACTGTCTTAGAGAATGATTAATGGCTTAAATTCTAATTTTGAGTTCATAAATATCTGTGTTTAATGGAATGCTGTAATGTACATGTTGTGCATCGGGGGATGTTTTTAACCTGTTCTCTTAATGAGATGGGGCTGATGCAATCATGCCTCTCTGTCATTCTCCCTTCTAATGGCTTTTGAACTCGGTGGCACATGCCAGTGACCTCTGGCAGAGAGGTGGAAGTCTCAGGGAAGTTTCATCATTAGGGCTTTGATGAACATAGAAAGCTGGGTAAAGGAAAAAGGCTGCATTCCAGCTTCTGCTGAGAGGCACGCACAGAGTGTCTTTTGGGCACCAGAGAATCCACGTGAACATGGAGCCTCAAGGCACAACTCTGTGGAGCAGCAGAGGCCAGTGATGAACTGACTGCAGCCCCCAAGCTGAGCCTGGGAAAAAGGGAGGTGTGGAGGGAAGGATGTTTTTAAGATTTATTTTTTTATGTCTCGTTACGCTACTCTGATTTGATTGGTAATAAATTAAGCTCATTTCCCCGAGTCAGGTCTGTTCTGCCCATGACTGTAATCGGTGAGTGATCTCTCCCTGCCCTTAATTCCACCCATGAGCCTTTTGTTACATTTTCTCTCCTCTGTGCGGCTGAAGAGGGGAGTGACAGAGATGCCTTGGTGGATCCAACCCCGGTCAATCCACCGCACCAAGAAAACCACAGGATATCTGCCTCCTTCCCCTTAACTTGAGAGGTATACAAATAAAAGAGGGAGCCCTGAAGGATTCAGAGCACTTAAGAACTTTATCATCCAGGCATATAAAAGATCAAGGCCAGGTTGGATGGGGCTCTGAGCAACCTGGTCTTGTGCAAGGTGCCCCTGCCCATGACAGGGAGGGGTCTCTGACTTTATGAAAGTCAAACAGTGAGGTCAGGCACTAAAAGGCAATGAAAGTCATCTTTGGTTTGAGCTGGGTTTTTACCCTGGTGCTGACTGGCAGTGTGGCTGTGAAAAGCAGGAACTTGGTGAGGATGTGAGACCAGTCCTGAAGTTGCCCACAGTTCTCAGTGTGGCTGTGCAGGAGGAAATGGAGGTTTTGTGGTGAAAGGTCAGTGTTGTGAACTTACAAAGTGTTTCAGGAAAAGAAGGGAGAAAATAAGATTTTACCAGCAGGTCTTTGACTATGCAAATGATATGGGTAGACTTCAAAAAAAAAAAAAAAAAAAAAAAAAAAAAAAGGAAAAATTAATACTGCTGAGACTTGCTGTCTTAGACTAGGGCAGATGTTTACACTTCCCTTAGCTGATCTTAATATATGTGTCAGATGCAGAAGTGGTGCTTCTCCTCATTCCAGCAAATACTCATTCCCCTATCCCTCTCCCAGCCTGACCATGGGACCCTACAGAGCAGCTGCTGACCACCTTTTGCCTGTCACCCTGTCCCTAAATTGCCTAAATGTCCTACATGGACGGGAATGCAGAAAACTAAAGAATTCCTGGATTAACTACTAATTATCTTAAAAGTCAAATAAAATTAAGTGAGGGATTGCCAAAAGGAGACTGGCAGGTTTTGTATCCAGCACCGAAACTGGAAGGATCAGACAAGACTAACCCATATTTTAGTTGGTCATTGTCCACTTTAGGAAGTGCAAGTGAACCAACTGTGCTTTATGGAGCAATAGGGCAAGCACTGTGATAGGAGAGTGCTGGAGAGGAACCATCCATGCTGTGGCTGCTATTCTTTGCCCTGTATCAGACTGGTCACTGGTCAGTGACCTCATCACTCTCTACAATTCCCTGAGAGGAGGTTGTAGCCAGGTGAGGTTCAGGCTCTTCTCCTGGGCAACTGCACACGGGACAAGAGGAAACAACCTCAAGCTGTGCCAGGGGAGTTTCAGGTTGGCCATCAGGAGGAATTTCTTCCCAAAAAAGGTTGTCAGACCCTTGGAACAGGCTGCCCAGGGAGGTGGTGGAGTCATCATCCCTTCAGGTGTTCAAGAAACGACTGGACGTGGCACTGTGTACCATGGTCTGGTTGACAAGGTGATGATCAGTCAGATGTTGGACTCGATGATTTTGGAGGTCTTTTTCAACCTTAAGGATTCTGTGGTGACCAGCACGTGGGGCAGGATGCCGGTGCAGGACTGATAAATCCTGTTTTCCATGTGTAACAGGGCTGGAGAGGGAACCGACTGCAACGTTAAAAAGGGATGTGCCCTTTTGGGTTGGTGGCACCACCATGCCCTTGATGTGAGCACAAATGCCAGAGTGCTCCAGACTTTGCTCAAAATGAAGAGGCTGTGGAAGTAGAGCCAAACTATTTTATTTGAGGATAATACTTGACATTTCTATTTTTCCTCGTGCCATTTGTGTGCACTCTGGGCCCTAATCTGAAAGGGGCCAGGTTGGGCGTTGAGAGACACTAAGTGCCGGTCTAGTGACTGTGACAGACAGAATCGCAGAATCATTTAGGTTGGAAAAGCCTCCAAGATTGAGTGCTTTGCGTGATCTGACCCTAGACACGGTCATCAGCAAAGCTGCTTTCACGTGGCTCTACAGAAGGCAAGTAGGGACTCAGAAAATAGGTGGAGGGAATTGTTCTTTTCTTGTTTGTTCGAGCTGGCCTTTGAGATGAACCAGAGGAAGAGAACGATCTTGGAAGTGAAGAACTGGGTGTATAACGTTTGACAGTATTTATTAGAACACGCCAGTGGAAAAGATAAATGAACCCACTGTTGTGTTAAGGAGTTACTGAACACCATGGCTGTGTCCCATGCAGTAATGTGTGAACACGGGTGTTTTTGGGCTGTGTGAGACAACTGTGCCTTGCAGCCTTGAGGGGAGGGAAGGGGAAGGAGTGTTCCACTTGTTTCTTTTTAAACAGAAGTCTCTGCTTCCAAACAGCTGTTCTGAAAGTAATTTATTAGTGGAAGAAGTGTGTCTTTCATTCTTACGCGAAAACACTGGGAGAACTTAGATTGTGTTTATCATAAGCTTCAACATTATTCAAGTTGCTTTGATTTGCTTTCTGTGGTAGGGACAATATTACCTATACTGAAACATGCTTTTTTTCCCCTCTGTAATGGTGCTTCTGAAGTGGATAGATTGCTAATGATGCAAATGGATGCTAATTGTGATAAAACCAGACACTGCTTTGAAAGGCAGTACCTGATTTGTAGAAGCAGTTGTAGAAAACAAGCTTTCACAAGTAAAATTGCTGTACAGTTCTATAAATAGGAGCATACTGTAAGCAGGTGGAGAGTGAAAATGGTCTGATTCCTCACAGCTGGCAGATACTTTATTTTTGGACATCAGGTCCACATCACCTTTAGGTGCTTGACTGCTGAAAAGTGTTTGTTACCATCTACTGGTTGATCTGGTCATTTGCAACACTTACAAAAGCTGAGCATAAGAGCAGAAAATCAGGGTCATGCTTCTGGTTTTTGGGTGAGAATTGGAGGGGCTGTGGCTTGACAGCCTGGTTGGCCTTGTCTTAGGACTTCTAGTATCCAACAGGTCAAAAAGGCCAGTGCCGGGTAATGCAGAGTTTGGAATAAACTCAGTTTGTTGTCTTGGTTAATACATTTTGTTGGGTTAACTTCGTGCTGACAGAATTTGTAGTCAATCAGGCTTGTCTGTCTAAGTTCCTGTGACTTTCTGCTGGTTCAGACGTTGCCAGTCTTTCTGCACCTGTTATTAATAGGGCACGTGCTCAGAGTTTAAGTGCTCTGGCTAATTTAGTGGAATCAAGGTTCTGCGTCAAAGCCCTTTCCAGATCAGGTTTGTACTGCTACATAACCTGAGGCTTTCTTTATTACATCTTTTTCCCCACACCAGCTGGTATATTTGATTATGGACCTGTGGCTTGACAAAGTGAGAAGTTATTAAACCTGCTCCAGCATGGGGTTTGGGTGTGAGAATAGCTAATTTCCATCTCCACGCCTTAGTGCTTGCCAGACTGATGCTCTGTGTGACCAGCCCTGCTCTTTTCAGGCCTGAGGTTCCTGTTGCAGTTCAGGGACAGCACCTCTGAAGGTTCAGCAGTCGCTGTGCAGCTTGTTTACCCATCAGGGCTCAGCTGCTCGCTGTGACTGCAGGGCTCTGTGTTCCTCCCAGCATTAAGTCCAATTATGTGATCTTTGTTTGAAGAGGGGTGTGAGATTTGTCTTCAGCAAACAATAATCTTCTTGGTGGGCTGTAAATTGTAAATAATGATTCCTTCCTATTTTTGGAAGCGATTTGCACCCGTCACCAGTTTATTAAGACCTGAACGAGGCAGGCTTGGAGAGCAGAGTGTTTGTTGGGCTGGGTGCCTCTTGCTGAAGTTACATGGACTGTTACAGGGCTTTTGCTTCGTCCTTCCTCAGGGCTCGTAAATCCACTCTCCGTTTGACTCCTTTGTTTGTTTTCTCTTTCAGGACAGTTATTCTGAGTGACGGCCCTTGCTCACGCTTCTGAGTGGTTATCATGGGCTTCATTGCCTTTCTGAAGACCCAGTTCATAGTTCACCTCCTCATTGGGTTCGTCTTTGTTGTGAGTGGACTGATCATTAACTTCATTCAACTATGCACGCTAGTCCTCTGGCCCATAAACAAGCAGTTTTATCGCCGAGTAAACTGTCGCCTTGCCTATTCCCTTTGGAGCCGTGAGTATGCCTGAGGGGGATGTGAGGGCTGGGTGTGGGGAGGGGAGAGGGTTTTCCTGTCCTCTGCTTTTGTTAATCACAGAAAGATGTGTATGCTTATGTTTATGGATACACACGGAGAGGAGAGAGGGAGAAATGATAGGTTAGATGTTCGACTCTTTCAGAGCAGTTCAGAACACCTATTGCTTTCTGAAACACTGGGGAATCACACAGAAGTCAAGGGACTGATATATAATGTCGCTCTGTCATTCAGAAAAGTGGGAAGTAAAGCTCCTCCCCACCCTCAACCCTGTCTGGACTGATAGAAATTGTTGATTCTGTCTCAATGCCATCTTCACCCAGCAGTCAGAGCCTGTGCTGAGTGATGGGGAAGGGAGAATTCTGAGACTGGCTCGGGTACTGAGAGTACGGGGGATATTCACCACTTAAGAGCCCAAGTCGACTGAATGCTCTGGAGGGGGAGAGGTCTGTCTTAGAGTCTGTAGTGTCGATGTCTCTGTAGCTGAAATGTGTGACAACTCCAGAGTCCTTTTACACCCTACAGTGTCTGTCTCCTCTTGGGAGCAGTGTCACTCTTTTCTTCTGCCCGTGGGTCAGCTTGACAGTCAGTTCAACTGCTCTGCTCTCCTCTTCCAGACCTTTGCAAAACTTCCTCCCTGTGGATGGCTTTTATTTTTTTTCTTTTTTTTTTTTTAATCTCCTCACTCAGCTTAGCAGGGGGTTTGATTTCTGAAATGAGTGTTTGGAAGGCTCCTTAGCCCAAATGTCACCTCCTGTTTCAGTGGTGAATCATCTAATCGGTTTCCACTCTCCATCCCCTCCCAGTGTGCACGGCCACTTACCTTTAGTGCTCAGCTCAGCATCCAACTCCCACTTTGGCTAAATGAGTCACCAAAGTGAGTGCTGAAATTGCAGTTGAGCAGTCCACTGACAGGCACCCACATTTCATAAGTCATCGATGTGAAGTACTACCAACAAACACTCTGCAAAGTATCTAGTTTGGTTTCTTTTTAACCTTGTTCTTGTCCTTCCTGTGCCTATTGAGAATGTTGCCTGAGAAGTACAGGAGAAAGGAAATTAAGTAGAGTGGCAGGCAAACTGTCAGGAGAAAAAGGTATTGTAATGGAATAGCTTAGGAAAAAGCTTAAAATTTGGTTGGAGTGGAGTGGGGGTACATGGGATTTTTTATATTTAATTTGCTTGTAGGAATTTCCTAATGTGCTTTTAATAATCTAGAATCTAGTTTCTTGGTGAAAACTATTATTGCACTAACAGTCTCGTGTTTCTCAGGATATGAGCTGTTTGTTCCTGTAAGGCTTGTAGGTTAGAGGGTAGCACTGCAGTGGGTTAGAGGGCTGTAAATGTACCTGGCATTAAAAAAACACCACATTTTAAATGCTGCTATCTCAGATCTTCTAAACACTGGAATAACCCACACTATTGTTCAGAGAGGTTTGGAGAAACTGAATAGATAATTGGGTTGTACCTAGAGTAGCCCCCAGTGTATAGGCTGTGATAAATTAACTCATTGAGAAATTAAACTGTGAAAATTAATGTAAATGTTACATTGGATTGCAGAGTGCTGATGGCCTGTAATGGAAGAGCTGACAGAATATGCACTTCAATTGTGATTTATAACAAATTAAGTAAGCCATGTAAATGCAGCAGCTCAAATGTTGCCATTCATAATGAAATATATGTCACTATGGGGAAGCCTTTTGGCCATGAACCTGTAGGTTAGTGTTCTGTTCTGGGTGCTACGTTTTGCTCTCTTAGTCCAAGCTGTTTGTATTTTTTAGGCTGAGGATGTTCATGTCAGAGCTGTCTGTAGGAGAAGCTGCTCTGCCCACCTGGCAGAGGATTGGTGTGCAGGGGTGGATACACAGATGATTGTGTATCTGGCTATGTATTGAAAACCAGGCTCTGTTCTTATTGTATCTCCTCCCAAATACATGAAGCACAGCTCCTGAAGGGGAGGGAGAGTGACTCTATCCAGTGTTGATGGCAGACATACGGGGAAAAAACTCTGTCAGGCTCTGTCCCCAACGTAAATCCTTTGCAATTCGTGACAGGTAGTCTGTAATTCATGCTCTCGCACATCAGCTCCTTTCAGATGATTCACACCTTTGGAGAGTGCAGCGTGTTTAGTTCGGTCCAGTTGCAAAAATAATCTCTCAGCTGTTGGTACTTTCAGCTGAGGGATGTGCTTGTGCCTCCTTGTCTGCTTTGTTTGTGGGTGGCTTATGATGCTGTAAATGTACCTGGCTTTGGTGTGTGGGAACCCCAGCCATAGGAGTTGGTTGTAGCAAGGTGTTGCTTGCCCTGTATAGGAAATGTCTTTGGCAGTGTGAGTATTCCCATCCCATCATTCATAAGGATGTGCTTGCTGTAGCATCAGTGGGATCAGTGCCATGCAAAGTAGCTGTAACCCACACAGAAAAAAAAAAAGAAAAAAAAAAAAAAGGAAGTGAGCCCACTCCTGGTTATAATTACATCATTTATCAGTACACTTGTAAAAGACAATCTGTTTCCTCATTTTCCTTCTTTGGCTCATCAGCCCTCCTCTCTCAGTGTGAACTCTGGCAAATCCTCCACTATTTCAGAGCGAATGGTAAATTAAATGCTCTGCAGAGAGATATCCACACCTGCCTCTGCAGATTTTTTACCTGATTTTTGAAGAAGAAACACACAGTTTATTGTATTTCTTGATAAGAAAGTGCAGCAGCTGTAGCAGGTACTGGAGATGTTCCTCCTTAGCACACAGGCAGCAATGGAAAGGGAAAGTTGTTTGGAGTACCACACTGTTTGGTACCACTGCTGCATTCTCCTGGCCACCTGCTTGGAAGGTGCTCTCAACTGAGGACACTCTTGCTGTCCTCTTTCCTCTTTTACTGAGCCAGGATAACCAGAGAAGGGAAGGTAAGTGATCACAAAGGAGACAAAGCTGGGAAGTGACAGTAGAAACCTCTAGCTGCTGTAAATGAACAAGTTTTGTCTTTGCTGTACTTCCAGTTGACCAGGATTAAGCTCTCTTGATCAGCAAGTTGCAAAACTTTGTCGTGCCTCCAAATGAGCAAGCGTTGAAAGTGATATAGGGGGATAACCTGGTGGATGAGTAAGTGGTCATGAGTGAAAAATACAGTGCTTAGAGAAGCCCTGTGTCTTCAGCACATCGGGACTGGTTTTCCCCATCACTCACCTAAATACCGTGTTTGCCTTCTCTCTGGTGTGGTGCAAAATTGGACCCACTCTTATTTAGCAGAATGGGTAGGTGACCCTCTCTGATGCTGATCAGAAGCCCTGGTGCAGGAAGACACTGCCTTGTTTTGCAAAACCAGGGCCTCCCAGCCTGAAATGGAAACAACCTCCTGGCAGAACCTGATGTGGGGGACTGAGGGGAGGGACTTCCAGATTTGACCCTGCAAGTTTACTGTAGCTATGTGGGAAGAGCTGGACTTTTTAACAGCCATGTTTGTGCAAGAAAATGTTGATTGCATCCTCATTGAAATGGGAACGTACCAATGACTAAAGTTTGCAGGGAAGCAAATCTTCCTGCTGGGAGAATGAACTATTCTCATACTTTTTATAGCTGTCCCATGGTACAAGAAATGTCTTCCATCTGCCTCGATGTTCTGAAATGAGAGAAATAAGCTAACCATAGCAACTACAGTCAATGCATGCTGAATTTAAGTGGAAGGGTTTTTTAAGATGAAAAAAGGGGAAGCGGAAAATTAGGGTGGGAAGTGTTCAGGGTGTAGTAAGAGATGCTACGATGTCAAAAAGCTGGAGAAAACAGAGGGGGAAAAGGCTCATTCTTTTGCAGTAAAAGAAAGACACAATTTACCATTCCTGTCTTTGCCCAGGTATTTTGATAAATTAGCTCAGTTGTCTGCTGTTTGGGACTGTGTTGATGATCATAATGCAGAACACTTAGAGCCCTTGTTCTAATATTAAAATCTCTTGCAGAAGATCTATGGCACTGCATCCCTTTAAAAGACCTTTATTGGTCTGTTTACCTCCGTAAAGCTTGTTTCATGTTGAGTAAAAGCATTAGGGGCTGCATCTATGCATAATTTTTATTCCACCTGGGAGAAACTGTGCTCATTTGGTGGAGCAATCAACAGCTCCACTGTCTGTTTTCAGGCACAAAGTTTCTGGGCTTTTTTTTCCCCAGTGATCATGAAATTTCACATTCATAATGCAATGCCCAAACTTGCTAAAATTATCCATAATGCATATGTCTGGTGCCTCTAAATACTGCTTAAGGACGGTGATGTCAGTTGGTCTGTACCCTTCCAAGCTTTCATTTCATCTCTGCTGGGTTGGTTGGAGAAGGTAACAGTGTTGGGAGTCAGAAGGGACGGGGCACTGAATGGGGCTTGAAGGTTTCTGCAAGGGGCACCCCTAACACCTTCTCTCCATCTTCACCACGTTTGTTAGAGTTGGTAATGCTGCTGGAATGGTGGTCAGGCACAGAGTGCACCTTGTTCTCAGACGAGGCCACGGTGAACACCTTCGGGAAAGAACACGTCATCATCATCTTGAATCACAACTTTGAGATCGACTTCCTGTGCGGCTGGACCATGACGGAGCGCTTCGGAGTGCTGGGGGTACGTGGGGCCCTGAGCTTCCCCTTCATCTGCAGGATGGCAGGCCTACTTAAAACACAGACACATAGGTTCTTGCATGTTTAACTTTCCAGATACAATCCATTTTCAGATTGTCATTTTTGTTTGTTTGTTTTTGTTTTGTTGTTTGGGTTTTTTTTTTTTCCTTTCTCCAAGAGTTCCAAAGTCCTTGCTAAGAGAGAGCTACTATATGTGCCCCTCATCGGTTGGACGTGGTACTTCCTTGAGATTGTTTTCTGCAAAAGGAAATGGGAAGAAGACAGAGATACGGTTATTGAAGGGTTAAAACGTTTGTCTGATTACCCTGAATATATGTGGGTAAGTGTTGAGCTCCTTCTCTCTAGTACTGAATGCCAGAAGTGAAATGGTGACAGAGGTGGTACTGTGGCCTTACGTGTCAGGAGAAGGTTTACTCACTTCCAAGTGTTGTCAGGGAAAAGCCACGCTCTGTTTGAGGAGGTCTTTTGGGATATGCTGGTAAAAAGTTTCTCTATTTTCCTGTTACTTAGAGAAGTCATTTGGGAGACAGCTCAGAAGCTTAACAATAATTTATAAATCAGGCTTGTGTAACACTTGTTGATTTTGTCTGAACTTACTGTTACCTATTAAAAAAAAGGCTATATTTGATAACTACATCTATATGACCTTAAGCTACATTTTCTGAGGCAGGATGGAAAGATACATAAGCAAAGAAGCCTTTTTTTTGGAGGAATGAATTTGGATGCACAGATCATGGATTTTGATAGAAAGTTCCTGTTACTGTGTTCATTGATCTGTGAAATTACAGGTTTCCCAAAAACTGTCTATGAGAGCATATGGCAAACTTATATATGCTTTTGCACTTACATTTTTCCTTTTAATTTTGGCATTATTTGAAGTCAAGGGTAAAACATCTCTATTTCACTATGTACAACGTTAGATTTTATTGCAGCAACAGAGTGGCATAATCAACCTATTAACTTTCTTAGAGCTTTGAAGGCAAACATTTTCATAAATTTACAGGTTTGCTTTTATAGCAGCACATGTAATGTGCAATTATTTGGCTTATAAAATATTTTAAGAGGTTTTTTGTGCATTTAAAGTGATTTTTTTCAATATTATCCAGTACAACTTGTTAAAATGAACAGTGAAACATTAAGCCTTAACTAGAACATTGTGAATGCATTGTGATTTTCTACCATTATAAGATAGAAAAAGTAATAATCTGGAGAATGTATTTTAAGCTACTTAATTGCTTGACTATATGGATATGAACTGTATTTAATATATCCTCCTGATTAGTGTTGGGGAAAAAAAGAGGGGGGGAAAAAAAAACAGGAAAAAATGAATCTACCAATTAGAAAATCTCAAGACTTAACTTTAGCTGTGCATTTTAATGATTCTACGACTGAGAACCATGGTCTAGTCTCCAGGGAAAACAACCAGAAAACATAAGTGCAAAACGTAGTTAGCATTGATTATTTAAATCAAGACATCCTGCCTGGTAATTTAAATCGTGATTAAAATTGACTTGAGGGGATCGATTTCCTAAATTTTGTGCATTCCAAGTGCCACAATTAGGGCTGTCTTTTTGTCGCCCTAAATTTGGTACGAGTGTTGGTAAAATTATAGGTAATTGCAAATGAGTTGTGAGGGGGGTGCTTATGCCCAGCAGTTGATAAACAGGTGAGGCAGCTGAAGTGTGCGCACGTGCATGGATATTTCTTTATCTTACACCGATTTTCAGTATCTCCCTTGGTTCCTCTTGATCTCAAGTGTCCCTTGTTTCTTGCCTCTTTGTCTCGTGCTAGTTTCTCCTGTACTGTGAAGGAACTCGTTTTACAGAGACCAAGCACCGTATCAGCATGGAAGTAGCTGAATCCAAGGGGTTGCCTAAACTGAAATACCACCTGTTGCCCAGAACCAAAGGTTTCACCACTGCTGTCCAGTGTCTCAGGGGAACAGGTACTGGCAAAGCTGCTCCTTACCCTTTGCATCACTTGTAACACATTGTTCAGTACCCTCTGTGTAGCACAGGGCAGTATATTCTGCTTTTTGTGATGCCCACGACAATTAGGGAGCTGGCAGTAATAAGCACCCCGCGTGTCAGCTGCTAATTTGTAAATTGCCATAGAACTGTCGGATACCAGCCTTAAAAAAATTAATAAACCTGTCATGTATGTCGTTGTCACTTAGTTCAGCCAAGTGAGCTGGGGCTCTGATAACACACATGCCTCAGAGCTGGGAATGTGGGGTGGCTGATACGGATAAATAGGGTGTATAAACACAAAGCAGTAAGGGACTGTGCTACCTGACATCATTAATTCAAGGCTTGCACAAGGCTTTGTTGCTTTCTCATGCAAGGATGCCAGCAAGATGGTTGCTAGAATTGCTGCTGTAACAGCCGTGTTTTCTTTTTTTTGCAACAGTTTCAGCAGTCTATGATGTAACACTAAATTTCAGAGGAAACAAGAACCCGTCTTTATTAGGAATTCTTTACGGGAAGAAATACGAAGCAGATATGTGTGTAAGGTGAGCATGCACAGATGGAGGTGAGGCCTAAGATGCGTACTTCGGCATGTTGAAGTGCATTCTGATTTTGCAGGGAAATTTCCTTTCCTGTTCCCCTTTTCCTTGTCCTTCAAGTTTCTCTGCAGATCACAAAGATCTCCCCGTTTCCCCCTGTGCCTCAGTTCACTTTCATGTGAGGTCCCATGATATCACCCAGCAAGTCGGAGAGCACTGGACAGACTTAAGCCAGGGTGTGACCACGCTGTTGTTCCCAGGTTTCCCTGTTTTCTGCAGTTGAAGATTTGTCTGCCTTTTTAACTTCTCTGCTGGAAACAGGAAACCAACTGTCCCACGCCCTCCCCAGTCCCTGTGAGAATGTGCGTGGCATAAATAGCCAGTCCAGTTTCAGTGGTCCCTTTACAGCCTAAAGCTCCTTCCTGGGCCAGTTTCTCTCCCTCCCTCACATGGTGTGATTAGCAGACTAGAAGTTAAGCAGTGCTGAAATTCGGGCATCCTGTGAATGAGGTGGGATATTCCTCACATTCCTCACTGCTCTTTTGCCTAGAAGAGTCACTGCTTACACCTAACTCCATGCAGCATGTACACAGGTGCATACACACATGCTTTTTCCTTCTTACTTTCTCCTTGTTGCCTTCTCCTTTAGAGGCTTCCTTGTGATCATAAGAACTACCAACCCTGTCCTGCTGAACTTCTTCTTTTCCTTTTTTTTTTTTATATTTGGACCTGACAAACGACCTGGTTGTTCTTTCCACTGTCCTTTTGCCAGTTGGCTTCTGCTTCTCTGGGGGCTTCACCCACACTTTGGAAAACATTGCTGTATTCTGGTGATGAGGTCGATGCTTGCTTTTTAAAAAAGGGAGAAAAAGCAAAAGTTTTGTTGCTTCCCCCCACACCTTTGCCCTCTGGCCTTAGGTCTGTGAGGTGCAGGTGAATGGCACTGGCTCTATACACAGTCCATCTAATCAAATCAGGTGTGTCTTGCCAGAGCCATCAAAGGGTGAGAATCTGTGTAGGAAATCACACGAAATACCCAGTGCATTGAGGTCGAGCAGCAACAGTTTTGAGGAAGAAATTCTATCCCAAGGGAGGCAGAGTGCTTCAGGCTTAATGGGGAAAGGAAGGGCACAGTGCTCCAGTTCTGGCCTCAGAACAATGTCCAAAACATTTTTAGTCTTTCATGGGGACAGGAGACTGTGGAGCTGCCTGTGGAGAGGTGGAGTTGCTCATTTGCAAGGGCCTTCATTTTGACTATTTTCTCTCGCCAAACGTATTCCTGATGAGGAAAGCGAACAGACAACTTGCCAGCCAGCAAAACAGGTGGTCAGGCAGTTGCCACCTGTAATTCCATACTGATGGCAGATGCATGTAGGATATCTAGCTGGATCTGGGGTACCCATGCATGGATGCACTTCTTTACAATTATACATTGAAAAACACGTGCCTTCAGTTAAATATCCTATGGCTTGCTCATGGAGGAGGTGCAGGCTGGTTTTAATTCTTGGAGATGTAGTGGGAGGAAAGAAGAGAAATAGTTCTAACACTATTTTTCAATAGTGTTGGAAGAGGTTTGGGTTCATAAAATCCCGCTGAGGATGATGTTGCCAGGTAAAATTACCAGTTGTACCCTATGAAAGAAACTAATGGCTGTGTGTAAATAATTTCAGTTTAACATATGTTTGTGAGCTGAATCAGTATTCTCAAGATGCTTTTCTACACTTAAAGCTTTCTCTCTGTTTTAGAGAGGAAGCTATGAGAATAAAGAGACTTATTTTTATGTGTTTTTTTTTTTTTTCCTGAAAATGGAACATGTCCTTATTGTGCCAGAAGACTTAATGTAGCTCAGAGAAAGGAAACACGTAAGCTCTTGTTCTTGGTATATGTGTACACATTTACCTGTGCAGAGGTAAGCAGCTTAGCTCCCCGCAGCAGATAACAGTCTCTATCCCAACTGGCTGCAGAGGAAGTAATCAGGAAGTTGCCAAATGTTATTGCTGTGAGTCCCCTCTAGTGGTGACAGCAACACCGTGACAGCTTCACCACAGAGCTTTCAGCGAATGACCAGCTCCTCATGTTGGAGCTCATGGAGGTAAATCTGTCAGATCTGGCGTTCAGTTCATTTGTGGGATGCAAAAATGATTAGAAGTTAATTAGAATGCATTCAGAACTATAGAATGGCCTGGCCTGGAAGGGACCTAAAAGATCATCTCGTTCCAACCCCTCTGCCATGGGCAGGGACACTTTCCACTAGATCAGGTTGCTCAGAGCCCCGTCCAGCCTGGCCTTGGAAAACTCTAGTGATGGAACATCCAGAGCTTCTCTGGGCAACCTCTTCCAGGGCCTCACCACCCTCTCAGTAAATATTTTTTCTAATACCTAATCTAAACCTGCTCTCTGCCTCTCTGGGCGTAATTTTCGCAGGCACCCAGACCTGCAGGTCTCAGTCTGTAGCACTGGAGAGGCAGAAGGGACAAGTGCAGTCCCTGCAGAAGATGACACTTTCCTCAGAGTTGGTCTGAAGCTAATTTTGAACCACGTCTACCAAAATGGAACAAACAGTTATCCTCGAGTTTGCCACTTGCTTGGATTTTCCCACCTCTGGGTGCCTCAGCCTGAGCTCACTGGGAATCAGCCAATGGTGGATGTGGTGAAGGAAGAAGAGTGTTTGAGTGGGAAATGCTCATTTTACTCATGTGAGCTGAAACTGATAGGAGCTCAAACAGTTTATTTTGTCTTAAGAATCTGAATTTTCTAATGCAGAATTGGTTGTTATTTAAGTGCCCGTTCTTCTCTGCATTTGAGACCTGTGCCATCAGCGACAGTATTGCCTGTGATTTATGCCCTTCACTGAATGGAAGATCATCCCTAATAGAGGGCTAAAGTCAAATACCTGGATTTTCCCTTAATTCCTTTTTGTTTTTCTTCTTTCCTTTTTTAATCTCTCTACTAAACCAGGAGATTTCCTCTGGAAGATATCCCTCAAGATGAAAAGGAAGCTGCAAACTGGCTTCATAAGCTTTACCAGGAAAAGGTAAACAACTTTGCCTTCTTTTCTTGTCTTTTGGGACTTTTCCCAGGGAGAGTGTATTAAGGCAGTGAGTAATGCACACTCTTCTGCTGGATGGAGAGCAGAGATAGGATATTATGTATAATTAAGCAGCCATCCCTCCAACTGCTGGAAGGAGCAGGGCAGAAGAGCCCCTTGGCAGTGGAGGGCTGGCCAGTGAGTAGGTCTCAAATTGCCAGGAAGCACAGTGGAATTCAGAGATACGCCTGAGCTGTGGCAGACTAATAGCAATCCACTGTCTTTTTGCATTCTTCAACTCTTGGATCTCTGTCCCAGATTTCTAAAAGCTCCATTTTCCCTGTGGGTGTTTTTAGGCACTCGAGAAGAGTAATAACTGTCTCTCAGGGACAGCCGGTCCTGGCTTTCAGCTGCAATTGTTCTTTGCTTTCATTTTTCTTCCACTGTCACTTTCCTTCTGCCTCCTGGTAATACTTCTGCAGTGGTGTGTGACATGGTGTGACAGTCCCTGGGATCTGCTGCCAGGGACTGGTAGAGCACATCGTGTCTTCACATGGCTCAAAGCTTTCCCTTGTGTTATTTTTTTTAATTTTTTTTTTTATTTGTATTTATTTTTTAACCTTGGATGGTTATTTTCTTGGCTACAGATTTAACAGTTCTGTGGGGAGTAGGAGAGAACTGTCATTAATGCCGTCCAGCCCTAATTGGTGGATTTTTGAACTTCAAATGTGTACCTTGATTTCCATGTTGCTTTTCTTTGTGGAAAGAAAAGCAACAAAAGAGCAGAGAAACTTCAGGCATCTTGGGCTCTCTCCAACTAGGATGACCTTGTGCTGCAGCATTTCCAAGCTTGTGCTTAGTCTGTGGGTAGGCAGCAAATCGTTCTAAGTTTCAGTTTTATTTATTTAAACCTAATTTTTTTGAGTACCTAAGCTCTAATTCAGTTAACAAGAGAGTAGTTACCTTACAAAGAGCAGTAGCTATCATCATCTTTCCCCCCCACCTCCCATTAGCACCATAGAATTGTTAAGGTTGGAAAACACCTCTAAGATCATCAAGTCCAACCATCAGCCCATCATGTTTACCACTGAACCATGCCCTCAAGTGCCATATCCATGTTTTTTGAACACTTCCAGGGACGGCGACTCCACCAGTTCCCTGGGCAGCCTGTTCCGCTGCTTTACAGCATTTTTCATGGAAAATTTTTATTTACCTAATGCCAAATCCAAACCTCCCCTGGTGCGACTTGGCAGCATTTGCTCTCCTCCCTCCTGATATTGGCTGCACCTCCGTTCAGCTTCGGTGTGAGGTGTTGCCAGGGAGGTATTGCTTGTATATGTGGGTATTGTATATATTGATCTCACAGTGGTGGCAGTACTTTGTACCTGGAATCCTCTCCCTGCACAGGGGGAGAGTCCTCACAAGGTTGTTACTGGCAAGGAACCCCCTGCACTTCTCAGTCCTTTGCAAAGTAAACTTGAAGAAAAACGGTTCAGGTGGGAAAAATAAGAATTAGCCAGACTCGAGCCAACCCCGGTAATGGCTTGGAAACCTTGGAGAACTTTCTTACAGACTGAGGGAAGGCTTGTGGGCGTTTCAGTGACGTGTTTCAGGACTGCATCTCTCCGCAGGCTCTGCTCAGGATGCAGCGGCTCGGTTGGAGTCCCTGGGTTGTGGCTGGCGTGGTGCTGTCCATGCTCATTAGCTCACTCCTTGCCTTGCTCCCCTGGCTCTAAATACAGCACTCTCCTGCTGGGCTTTGCTAAATCATGCTGAACTTTTTGGAAATAAAAATGGAAAGGTAAAGCACCCAGCTGAGAGTGCAAGTAGTGCCTGAACTGGCCTCTGGCCTGATGCTGCCCTCAATTCCTAAACAATTAAGAGAGGAGGTGAAGGTGTTTGGTAGTAGAGAGGACAAGGTTTCAGTTTCTGGTGGTGGCAAAAATTGCCTTCAAAGGACTAATACATTCACCTTGGCAGTCAACAGAAATGCCCAGAAAAATGACAGCAGGTAGAATTGGATGCTGTGCACTCTTGATGGGTATTTACCACAGACACTGTCCTTTGTGTTGTCAGTCATGGGTAGCTTGGTGCAAACATTACGAACCTGTTTTCTTCTCTTTCCCCCAGGATGCTTTGCAAGAGATGTATAATCAGGAAGGCACATTTCCTGGCAAGCAGTTTAAACCTCCTAGGAGACCATGGACTCTCCTAAATTTTCTTTTTTGGGCCACAGTTCTCCTCTCTCCTCTCTTCACATTTGGCTTTGGAGTTTTTGCAAGTGGATCACCTCTCCTTATCCTTGCATTCCTAGGACTTGTGGGAGCAGGTAATAAAAGCAGAGAAGATGCCAAGCCCAGTTTGACTCATAACAAGATCCATTATACAATAAGTTATGTGTATTATTAATATGAATGGGGCTTGCAGAAAAATACTTGGAAATTCACTCAGTAGTTTTTATATTATACAGCATTTTAATTATTTAAAAAGCTTAATTCAGGCAGATTTGCCTTCATATCTTAGGCAGTAACTGTAGTAATCAGTAGCAGGTGAGTCTTGTAGCCCATTATTGTGGTGCCTGAAGGAAAAATACTTTCACTGGACAACTTGTCTGTGTATTAAAAACCAAACAAATACATAAACACCAACCCTCCCAACTAAAGAAAAACCTAATTAAAAAAAAAGAGGGTGTGGTAGAGTATATCAGTGTTCATGCTACATGTCCTGTCAAACAACAGAAGCAGTAATTATGTATTTTGATCTGGATTGTCCCCCTTTTTTAGTGTCATTGGTCTGCAGTTCCTACTGACTTGGAGATTGGGTGAACTCATGTGTGTTCTGCTTGTGTGGCTTCCTGAATCCTTAAACTGCTTTTAATATGCCTCTCATTTCTCTGTTGTATTTTAAAGCTTCCTTTGGAGTTCGTAGACTGATAGGAGTAACTGAAATAGAAAAAGGCTCCAGCTATGGCAACCAGGAATTCAAGAAAAAGGAGTAACTGATGGCTGCAGTTCAGCACATATAACCAGACTATGGTATCCCATTAACTTCAGTTAAAAAAACAACAACAAACACTTAGAAACTATCTTTTTCTTAATAACTGATGACTAATATTAATGAATAAAACTTGAGCCAAGAATGAAGACGTTGGAGGCATCGACTGAAGAGAACACATCAACCTTTCTGCCTGTTTAAGGATTACTGTAATCAAGCTATGGGAGAAAATCTGGGGTGGGGTGGAAGAAGAAACTGATTTTTCTTGCTTTGTTGGGGGACTTGGGGTGGGGGAGAAAAGGCCACGTGGCCACGTGTGTCTTCAGATGACTGAAAACACTGGTTTCTGTCAAGAGCACTACACTCACTTTTACAACAGGAGCCATTGAATGTTTCCTCTTGCTAAAGCCAACGTAACATTTATTGATTTCCAACTTCTTTTACTAATGAGCCAGGAAAAAACACCCTCCTTAAATTAACTGACAGGCGTTCATGGGGTTAGAGTCATTTTGGCTGTGTTGTCATGGCTACAGATGAAATCCTATTTGTACGTTACACCGATACTTTTTGTTTTCAGGCAACGTCTTAAAACTTCTGTAATGGGGGAGAACAGGCAGTGGAGTTTGGAAGCAGTGCATTGTTCATCAGCAGTTCCCATAGAACAGATCCATGCTAAGAGAGTAGAAAATTCCCATCACATCTCCTGCTAACTGCTCAAGGCTGTTTAATTTCAAAATATTACTTCAATCTTGAGTGCTGTTTGCCCTGTTTCACATCAAACATGGATGATAATTTTGAATATTTTTGGGCTTGTTTTGCTTTTTTTTTTGAATCAATGGTTGACCATGGGATTTGGAGTTGTGCAAAGAAGGAAATTTATTCAGTTGTCCTGAACGATTTCTCCTTTTAATTTCTGTTTGCATCTCTCATTACCAAAGTCCAGTTCAGCCAACTTCTCTCAGTAAACTAGGAGGCAGCAGCAGAAATCAGCACAATAGTTTTCAAAATGTCTTCTCTGACAAAAATGTGAAAAGGAGAGGTCTGGAGCAGCCAGGGTTTGAATGCTGCCATCTCTTGAACTTGTAATGGGAGTTTCAGCATTGATGGGGCCAGGATCTTACCCTGTGTGTGTAAGGATACACACAGGATATTTGACTTGGCCATGCTCTAGATATTCATGTGAAGTTATACTGCAAGATGAGCTGTGCTGTTAAGCGTTAGAAAGAGTATGAGGGTCTCTTCAGGGATTTTAAGTATCTTTAGTTTTGCTTGTTGACGTTTTGGTTTTTTTTTTCACTGAAACTTAGAGATCAGAATCATGTCTGTACCTGTCTCTCTCCTTTTTTTTTTTCCTGTCTTTTTTCCCTTTTTTCTTTTTTTACAAACGCACATTCAGAGATTTTTGTAGATTGCTGCCGTATGCAGAGCTGGAGAACTATTTGCAAACAGATGGTAACTACCTGTATGTTCAAGTCTGAAGGTCACAATCTGCATTTGGCTGCACTGAGAAGTGGGTGAAATAAGTTGCAGATCTACAGCTGAGGGCAGAAGCTGACCCTCAGGGTCTGTATCTTTAACCCAGCTGCCACTAGAATATTTATCTCACTTTTGTAAAGAACAGATCTTATCAAAGCACTGGTTGTTGTTTTCATCTTTGCTCCAGTAACCAAGATAAGAGAGTAATAATTTACCTACTTTTCGTATTTACTCTTAACTGTTGGAATGTAACCTCTTCTCCCACAGGTTTTTCTGTTTCCAAACACTGGAAGAGCAATTTTGTAACTTAGAAAAATATTTTACTTGGGGTCATTGATCACTGTTCTGTCATGCACTTGATTTTTATTTGTGGTCTTTTCAACAAGAGCGTTTGAAGGATGGCCTACGTTGTCTGTCTCCTGTTAGACTCAACCTTGCTCAATCCTTGTACCCAGACCCCCAGCATTAGTATGTCATCTTTGTCCCCTCAATAAATCTTCCCTAAGATAGGGGATGTAAAACTGTTGCTAATGTTAGTGGAATTTGGAACATGCTTTGGGAATTGAGGAGAACAGAGCCCAGCCATGACTGTTTTCCTTGCTGGATGTTTTCGTACTTTGTCTCTAAATATAGTCTGACATCCCAATGCTGATAAAGTTAACTCTGGCTTTTCCCTGTTTTTAACAGGAGGACTAAGAACAGTGGGGGTTTCTTTCTTTCTTTTCTTTATTTTTTTTTCTTAAGTAATTCAGTAATGGGTATAATTCTTGCTTCCTAGAAAGATGTTACAAATGCTGTATACTTGCTTCCTGAAGATGATATTGAGTATATATAAATTTTACTGGCTTAGCAGAAGAGGCTTGCCAAGCAGGCTGACCACTGACTATGTTTTATACTCTACATTTTGAGCAGTATATTAATGGGCATGACAAGAATTTCACAAAATAAATCCCTTCTTAATGCTGAGAAGAGGGGAGCTGCTTAGAGGAGAAGGGAATTAATAACCTTTCTCTTTACAGGATCCTTTTCTCCTCTTAGTGCATGTAACTCCCTATTCAGAACCATGGGATTAGTGCATGTACATCAAGGGGAGAATAATCAACATTTCATATTTCCTTATCATAATTTATTGGTCATGCTTTCTTTTTGGAAATATAATAAATACGTCATCGGATACCTAAATTTTGCTCTTCTAAACAGACATATCAGTAACCTCTTGAAAAACTGAAACATGCAGCAGTGCACAAAACAGTGTGAAACCAACGAAAATCTCTTCATTTTGAATTTTATCTCCTCAAATAGGGGTTTTTATACACGCGCGCGCACACGTACACAAAGTATGTATAAACTAAAATGACTGGAAGTAGCTGAAGTTAATGTCACTAATGAAGATTAGCAGGTGGATTGGATTGGGAAAGCGAGCATAGGTTTTATATCTTATTTTCTTCTGGTTTAATAGAACATAGCTTGTATATTTGACTACCAAGCCCTTTAAGAGCAATAATAAACAAAAATATATCATGTTTTCCGTCTTTTTTGCTTTTCAACCACGGTAGGTTTAATAAACTTAGAGCTGTGGGAGCGTTTTCTCTCTCCACCTTTCAGAATTTTCATTTATTGCTTAATTGTTCAGAGTAAATTCCGTGTTCTCCAGTTTGGACTTGCAAGCTGACTGCCATGGAGTGCAGCATTGACTCAGAAAAGGAATAGTTCTCAGACTTACGTGGACAGATGATACATGTGTGCTTTTGGCATTGGCCATGAAGATCAGGGATGTTGCTCTCCGAGTGGGATTTACAGTTCCAAAGCACCACGTCCGAGAGCCCTGTGGAAGAGCTTAGAGACTGCTGGCATTGTGGCATCTCAGTTAGGAAGGCACAAAAAGCTGATGCTGAAGAAGGACCTGGTATCCAGAGGCCTTGGCTCGGTGGGATTACAGTTCTCCCTCGCTCACTGCGGGCTGAATGTGCTCTCACAATTGACGTTGCAATCACTGAGCGAAATATCTGTCTCTGGCACAAAGAGCATGGGCAGCATTCCTTTGTTCTGCTTTAACTCATCTCGAAGGGCTCTACACTTAATTGCTGACCAATGAATCTGACTGCTGCCTGTGTCCTAATTGCCTGGAATTCATTGGAAAAGTGAGTGTGCCTGCTCACTTCCACGTGATACCACTTGTCTCCGTCACTGACGTCTGTACATTTGCTTGCCTGCATCCTCTGCAGATGGTTCAATTGCGACCTCTTAGCTGGAACTCTGAGCTTTCCAGTTCAACCAGTCCTGTAGAAATCGTCTCACACAGCTGGGGGTTTGTTTTCCTCAGTTTTGGCGCTGGGTTGATGTCCTCTGCAGGCCTGAAGTGACGCAGCTGTGTTGGTGTTACATGACAGTGCAACTTTGCTGCTTCGGAGCAAAACTTCCGTCAGGGAAAAGAAGCCCTTCCCAGGCCTGCTCATACAGGCCATCCCCATCTGGCATCAGGTCCCTCTGGCACTGGTGAAACCAATAGAAAGGAGTTGGGACCAGGTCTTTACCAAGAGTTGGAGTAACTCACAGGCGGGAGTCGCTGCACGTCTGATAGTGGCTAAAGGTACTTTTTCTGTCTGGGGACCACACAAAAGATCTGGTTTTGCTTCGTGTACATTTTGATTAAAGAAATGTGGGGTCAGAGGCTTTTAATAATGCTGAGTTCACACTGCACGGGGTGTTTCAGATTGCAGACAGATAATCTCACGTATTTTGGCATTTTGGAGAAGAGTGTATTAAGAAGTCTAAAGCCAAGCTGGGGCTGACCTCACCCACGTGTTTCATGCAGATGCTGGAGGGCAGTGCAGATCAAAGTGAAAAATCCATTCCTCGACCTCCTTTGAAGATCAGATGCAGTGCTGTGGCTCACAGTGTCTCCTGGGTGCCATGTGCTTCCGTCCCTTGGCGTGAAGGTTGTTTCACAGCAGGTGGTTGCTACACGTTCTGGTTTGTGCCTGCACGAAGAAGCCCCATCCCTGTTATGGGAACGTTGAACTTGTGCTCTGTCCCAGCTACTTGTTTCTGTATTTCTGAATTTTTTGATCATAATGGGCTGCTCCAGGGCTACTGGGGCTGAGTGAACCCCAGGATGTGAAGCAGGGGACAGCCATGCTGAGAGCTGCGAGGTGGAGGGAGGAGGAACACCAACAGGCACATCCAAATCCTTGCTCTGGGAAAACCGAGTGATTACCAGGAGCGCTGCAAACCAGAGATAAGTGTGTGCATGTGGGAGGCAAATTCTGGCTCGAATATGATTGTGAGATCTCGCTGTGACAAGCTTACAAGACAACCCTTGCCATGTTCACGTGATTGGGGTCAGAATTCGTCTTAAGGGCCTGCTAGAGATGGCAACTCTCATTCTGCCTCACTCCTACCCTGTTTATCTCGAAGGACAGTTTATCTGATTGACTGCAGCAAGATCCTTGCAGATTGTTGGTTGTGTTTTTGGTTTTTTTTTACCTGCTGGGGTTTTGAGGGAAAACATTCTGGAAGTCAGTGTTACAGGGTCTGTGCCACGTTTGTTAGCCACCAGAAAATGACTTGAAGGTATTTCATACTTTGGAATTGGGAAGACAGCGGTTTGGCATCTGTAAGACAAACATGTCATGTTTCTCTTATCCTCAGCCTCTCTAGATTTATGGAAAGCTGCCTGTATTTCTTAAAATGTTAGACCTGTAGTTACCAGCCACACTTCAGTTTTTGAAACTGTGAAGAAAGGTAATTTGTGCACTTTCACTGTTGAAAGCACTTGAGTGTAGCCGATTGTCTACTTCTAAAAAACTTTGCATTAGCAGAAACAGCATTTTATCTTTTTAGGAGGAAATGTATTTTAAAAATAGACACTTCGGCAGAAACCAGAATATAACAGTACTTTTGAAGTTTAAATTAGAAGTATTCTTTGGTACGGGGGTTACCACTACTAATTGGCAGTCTTACACAACTTTTATTTCTTTTTGTCTGTTTGTTTTTGTTTTGGCCAAGGTGCATTTTTGAGGAAAACGCACCAATTTACTAATCACGCTAAAACTTAATTTGCGGAGGAAGGACAGCAGGTAGCAGAGCCCAATCAGGAATAAATAATTATTTTTTTTTTTTTTTTTAAACCCAAGGCATGAGCTGGTTCTGTGAACCTTCTTTATAACAGTGCATGTGCATCTGTACAGGGAGCCAAGCCGTGCCCCCCCCCCGGTTCTGTTTCTGCTTCAGCTTTGTCCGAGCCCTACCTTTGTGACGACTGAATGCTGAACTCGCCTGAACGCCCCCGGCAGCCGCCGCCGGCGCGTTGCTCACTCCTCAGATCACCAGCAAGTACTGTAGCTTTAACAAAAACCCTTCCCTCCGAGAGAGCTCGCCATCCCTCCCTAAGCTGATTGATTTTTGTGGCAAACTTGTTGTTCGGAGGGAAGTGTAAGTAAGTACCAGATGATCCGTTACCTTAGCCAAATCTAACGAGTAATAAAAAAACTGTGTACAGGGTATGCGTTGAGTGTGTGCATGTGTATATATATTTTTGTACATTTTTACGGTTGTTTCCTACACTTGATTTTATGACGTTCGGAAGAGAGGTGTCTGAATCTCGTGAGCAACAAGAAGCTGTTAAGAAAACCCAACCTACTGTAGTTTTTACTGAGAACTGTGCCCGAGCAAATACGCAGATTTACAGTGCTATGCAAATATTACTTTGTAAGTTGTGTCTTAAATTTTGCTTAACTAGTTCACGCTGGTTTTATTGGGCTTTCAGAAAAAGACAAACACAAAAGACTCATCCTGTAAAATAAAATAGCTTTGGCTGTGTGAAAGTACTGTATATTAGAATCTCATTCACACTCTCAGTTGCTTATTTGACTATATGTGATTTTGTACATAATATGCTAGCATAGAGGGGTTTTAATTGTGCTCGAATGAGAAACGGTGACTGCCCAGCATCTGGTTTTTTTGCAGTGTTCACTGAGTAGCCAATAATGTACCAGGGAGATATGCATCCTTTTCCTATTTGCCACTCTGGTTTTTGTAACTAAACATGCGCTAAGGGCTATTTTCTTTTTGCTTTGCTTGGTTTTATCTCCATTCATGCCTTCTGGTCTCAGTCCTGCAAACTGATGCATGTGAGGGGATCATGTCTGCAGCAATAACCTGGGTGGATCATTTCGTAGGGGCTGGGAAGGCAAGAACAAGCTGAACCCTCTGGGCATTCCCTGAACAAAGCCAGTCCTTGAGAACTGTGGAGGGACAGTGCATTGCCCAGGCATTTCTGGCAGCAATATATAAAGTTTTGTGTGGCTTCTCCAAGTGATGAGAATGGGAGGGAGGGATTTTCCTTTCCTGAAGATTCCTCCAAAGCAAACCCAAAGCTGTATGATCTAAGAAGTTGAGACTGCAGCAGGGTATGGTGGCTGTATGGGTAGATGCTGTTGATTAAACCAATTTGTCAAATCTGACATCTTTTTAAGTTTCTATTTTTCACTGGAAGATAAAGACCTTCCTCAGCTGTTCACCAACATCATACACTCCCACCTGCGAGAAAATGAAGACCCCCTGGATGGTCCCTTGGCATTTTTGCTTTCTTCATCATATTTTAATCAGAGAGCTGCTCAACAGTAGGTCATCTCTACAGTTTCTACCTCTCCTGTAGCCCTGGCCTGGTTCTGTACCCGCTCGGTCCCCTGGGCCATCAGCTCTTCTTTAGCCTATGTAAGCCTGTAACAAACAAACGAAAAAAAAAACAAATAAAAACCTCCACAAAAACAACAACCAAAAAACACAATGAAAAAAAACAACCAAAAAATAAAAATAATTAAAAACAAACAAAACCCACCCCCACCCCCCAAAAAAAAAAAAAACAAAAAAAAAAAAAACCAAAACCACCAAACAAACAAAAGGGATGTGGTAATATCACATTCCTGGGTCACCTTTTTGTACACTGAGCTCAGTTTCTCCTGTAGGTTTTCCCTTCCCTGGTCCCTTCTCTTTTGAATAGTCGAGGTTGGGCTGAGCTGCCTTAAAATGACAGATCAGTTGCATCTTGTGTCCACTATGTGGACAGACTCTTTTTGTGGAGAGGCTGGGCTTCAATTCTAAAAGTACGCAAGCAGAAACTTCTTTCTGTTACTTTTCAGCTTGCACAAATACAGCTTTTCTTAGTTGTGTGCCTCCATCGGATCTCCTCGGATCCATAAGTCATTTTTGAAGGACAGTGATTTTGATCTGGAGCCAGGCAGTGTCAGACACCACAGGTGCCTGTACTGAGGATGCAGAAGCAGCCAGCAGTGGGGTGTATGGGCAGGGGTAGGTGGATGGGGCAGTGTGTTACTGCAGTGTTTGACAGGCAGCGCTGTGTAAGGGAGATGTGGAAATGGAAGAACAGGTTTGCTCCCTGGATGAAGGCACAGGGAATGTTGTTAGGTGGTTTGTTTCTGTACTGAGCAGTCCACACCACAGTGACCTCTATAAGCTGCGGGAGCTTCTCACACACCCTCTCCTTAAACTGCAAACATAG